GTATTGCTAAAATAATATTTCTAGAAAAAAAAAACTTATATACAACTTAAACACATAATTTCTTTTTGTCATCCGTTATTTAATTATTTGACAATTATTGCGTTGATGCACAAAAGATTTTGCTGAAGACATAGATTTTTATATAAATGGGTTATCTTTTACTATTTTTAAATAAAAATGTTTATTCAAATTAAAATTTAAAAAGAGAGGAATTGTTTTTGTTTCATAAATATGAGATATTACAAAATTTACTAAACTTATAAAAAAATTAAGAGGGAAAAAGGAGAGAGGAAAGAAAGTAAGAAGTTGTCATATAAAAAATTATAATGTTATTAATAGTTAACAAAACTATAACGGTGTTAACTTATATGGGATACATGACAGTAATTGCAACAAAAATGGGCTTTCATTATAAAAATTTAATTAAAAAATTTAAAATTATAAAAATTTATTAAAAATATGATAAAATCATAAAGACCTAAAACTTTTTTTTTTTGCTAGAACCTAAAACTTTTTTCAAGAGCAACGTACAAATTTAAGGACAAAATTAACATAACTATTAATTAAAATACAACACATCTATCATTAACTAAGCTAATTTTAATTTTTGTTGTAATGTGTGAACCCGGTGTCATGTGGCCGTGTAATATATTTTAACTTTGGTCCATTATAACGGGCTTGATACATGACAGTTATTGCAACAAAAATGGGCCTTCACCTTAAAAAACAACCTGGTCAGACCAAGTGGCTTTCGCTAGTTAATGGGTAGCATTAAACACCCAGCCCCAACCATTAAATGATTAGTCAATTTTGCATGTTATGAAATGTTATTAAGTGAATATAAGTGATAAGTTTTATGTTTAGTTTTTTATTATTATTTAGGATTAAAGAGTCATTAGTGTTAATTTGATTGTATTAGACTATGCTTTGTAGTGATTTTGTGAAGTTTTATTAATATATTTTAATTGTTTGAGTGTGTAAAAGTTTGTAGTGGTTTAAGTTAATTGTTTTTTTTTTAAGTTGTAAAAATATTTAATCTATTTTTTTTTTACTTTTTTACTTTTGGGGTGCAAGAGTAACTAGAAAGACAATTACTTAAAACTTAGAAAATTATAAGTTGTGTGAGCACGTGAAGAGGTTTGTGGTCATAGTAAAAAAGTATAATCTACTTAGTTGTGCACACAAGAGCTCTGTATATAACTCCATAAAGAATTGATGAAGAAATGCTAACTTACCAGTTCCTGTGTGGGCATAAAACTTGGTTACGTGCCTACACAAGTCTACTGGAATGAGTTAATAGTTTGTGGCTACACTAGTTGTTAAAAAATTCAGTATGAATATTTAAAGTTACATAAATCATGTTTTTTTTTGTTCATATTTCACTTTTGAAAGTTCTATGTTTTAAGGTTTGAGAAACACTTCAGATTAAGAAATTAAGTCCAACCATTATTAATTCTAATAGAATTTTCTTCTTCTTCTTTTTTTCTCTCTTTCTCTTGTTTTTCTTTTTCATTATATTTAACTAGATTTTGTGGTTAGAGAATGATGAATCACAATTCAAATTTATAGTAAATTAAATTATTGCATTTGAATTCAAATTTCTTTCTTTCAATTAAGTGTTTCCTTTACTTCTTAATGCTTTTATGGAGTTAATCAATCATCGATTGATTTTAAATTCACTTTCATAATTAAAAAAATTATTAGTGAATTAGATCTTAAAGTAGTGCACGATAGTTGTTGATATTATAGAGATATAAATGATGATTACGTGATCTTGTACTATTTTAAACTTAATACTTGTTTCAATTAAAAAATAATCTAAAAAATTAAGATTCTTAATTAAGAAAAAAAGATTTATTTATTGAAAAATTGAAATTAGTCCAATTCAAAAAACGTAATTTTTAGTTAGATGTCAAAACTGAGTTTAAATGTGATTTGATTATTTGAAATAAAAGTTGAGAAGATTATACTCTACCTGTTTTATACATTTAATTTTTATTTTATTTTACTATATTCTATTCTCTTACTTTATTCTTTATCAAACATTATACATTATCGCTATCACTTCAAGATTAAATTCAAATAGTTATAAACTTCTGAATTAGTAGTTGAGTACAATTTTCGTAACCATGATATTTGTATTTACACTATTATTTGGTATAACTCGGTATACTTGTCAAATAAAATTCAATTAACAAGTGTCTAGGTTTGAATTTTAAGAAAAATAAAAATCATATGATGTTCCCTAGAATTGAGATAGTATTTCTCAATCTATTTCCAAATTTTTACTACAAAATAATAAATCAAAACAAAAAAAAAAAACTCAAATTTTCAAAGCAACAAGAATAGGTTCAGTTCAGTTCAAAGTTTGGATATCAATGGAAGTTTCTCCTTATTATTTTTAGCAAACGTTAACTATTTTTTTTAAGAATTAATTAAGAAATCCATAATAGAAAACTATTAAAGAATATTATTAATCCACTCTAATTATCATATCCATATACTTTTAGCGTTAAAATGCCTTTTTTTATTAGTATCCTTAAGATATTAGTCACCCAAACATTATTTTTTTTGGAATTACGTGTTTTTTCACAGAAATTGTTTTTTGTAACATCAATTTAAATTTTTTATATAAAAATACTCATATTATTAATAAAACTATAGGAAAAAGGTATTTTAATAAAAAATATAATGGACAATGATAATAGAGGTAGCCATTCTTTCACTGTTACGAGAAGTCGTTGAATTAACAAATCTAGTTGGTTAACGTAGACGAGTGTAAACTAAAATGAGTTGAATTTTGAGAGAGGGAAGACCAAGAGAGCTAGGGTGATGATTAGTCAACATGTCACTCCCTCACTTTCACCATCCAACCTCAAAATTATGGTACATTTCAAATAGGGTCCCCATACTTATAAAACAACTCCTTAAATTAGATATTTTTAGTGTTTTTATGAGAAATTATAAATAATAACTGCTAAAAAAGTCTTTAAAAACTTATTATAAAATCATTTTTTTTTGGTTTAACTGCTCCCTATGTGGCATCTATGGCTATTCCCAGGCATTCGGTGCCCCCTCTTGCGTCTCAAATTTAACTGCCGAGTGAGTTAGGTATTTTAGGTTACCGGTCAATTAATCTCAAACCTAACAATTCACAATTTCAACTGTCCTTCTCTTTCTCTTCCTGTCTCATCGCTTCTTCTTAGCAACATACTAAAAAAAAAAAGTATCCAAATAAAGACAAATTGACACTGTCATCTGTTGCTATGCCTAGAGATGCCATATTCCAGCAAGTAAACGCACCCTATTTGCACATTTGTTAACATTAAATTGTTTGACTTGTAAAGTTCTACACTGTTTAGACATATAGCTTAGACATTTTTACATGCATCCTACTGTGCTCTAAGGGTTATGCACTATTTAGTTCTCTCATCAATTAATAATCGAGTCTATGCAAGAGCCAAACTAAAAAAAAATAAAAAAAATGCAGTACTTTTTCTGCGGCCATGTTTTAAATATTTAATCATACTACCTTTAATTTAATGCAAATAAAGTGCAAACTAACACAAGTACTTTTTTTGTTTTTTGCTTTTATGCTAGAGCGTCAATCACGGAGGAAAGAAAGCGTAATTGACATGCTTGAACCATTTATCTATTTATTATGCCTCTGCATACCGAACCAATGCTTAAATAATGTGGTAGATCGGTCCTTCTCTTGATATGGACTGTGGGCACATCCAGAAAGCCAAATTGACAACAACATGACACACGTACACCTTCAAACAGAAATTGTCCTACATTTATTTATGGCTAAAGAAACGGGCAAAACTTCCTCTTTTTTTTCATTGATATTTACTTGTATATTTTAACCAATCACAACCAACATCACCAATGTCCATTGGTCTATGTACAAAGAGGTTGGTTCACTTTGAGTAAGTTTCGGTTTTAGTCTTGTGAAATGAAAATTAACCATTAGAGTTTTGTCCTGTTAAATTAGTTCTGGTGAAACATGACTAGCAAAGCGTTAGGCCGAAATGAACCATCTTAACCTAGTAAATTTGAAAAACACTAACAATGCACTTTTTCTAATACACCACTTAACATAGTTAATTTTTATTTTATTTTTAATAATGGTATGAAAATATGTTAAAAAGAGTATATCAGTAAATTTTTGTCATGGGACAGTTTATGAAGAAGCATAGAAGATATAGATGCCATCCACTGGACTGAGCACAAGGACAAGAGTAACTATCTACTTTTCGAGGAAGAAACACTGTTCAGTGTATAATTTCTAATGAGGAAGCTCTAATCTTGGCAACCAACAAGTGATGAGACATATGTAGATATTGCTCCATTGACCTGAAGATTTTTAATGCTCTAAACTATAGATCATAAATAAACATTTCGATGAATTGCCCTATGTCATTTAGCTGATGGTCATATCAGCAAGCTAATAGAGAGTAAGTTAGCAGTGTGAATTATTATATGTTATGTCCATGCTAATCATTAATTTCATTTTGTCCACTATGGTGCAAAAGGAAGGCATAACAAAATGACGTTTACCACTCAACTTCAATTGTGTGGTGCTCCCTCGTACTGTTTCAAAATGGTATCTTATGATTGATTTTTGTCTCTGCTTCTCTCTACTTTAATCCTTATATTGCGCCGGTTTCAAAGAGAAAAACAAGAACCGGAGTTTCTTTACTTTGGATAAAAGTGTGAATAAAGAGAGAAACAAGCTTGGTTCACATTATACAACTTAATGATAATACTTCAAAAGCAACTTCATGCTTTCATACTCCATGCCATATTTCCAAATCATGACATAAACTGTGCAATTCCAAAAGCAAGATTTAATAAGATTACCACTATAATACTCTTCAATAAATTATCTACCCTTTAACATTTCTTTTTGTTATTTTTAATGTAAAGCACAGTAAAACATGGAACACCCACTGTGAATACTCAAAATCAAAAGGAAAATAAACTCTTTTTCACTATGACAGTGATTCAAGCTCAAGGCTCAAAGTTCTCTTGGTCATCTTCAAACTCCTCCTGGTTCTGGTAACCTTGCATGGAATTCACATTGTTGTTGCCAAAGTAACCCCTGTTGTTGTACCAATTTTCAGAGTTCACTCCTCTGGACGAGCCATCATGCAGTGTTGGATGGTTGTACTTCTCAGATTGAACGTCATAAAAGTATTTTCCACCCTCCACAAACCTTGTGTCACTCAAACCCTGCCTCTCACCATTGTAACTGTTATCCACAGCGTAATTTTTGTAAGAGTACTTTTCGTTGGCAGCATTGTTGTTGTTGTTATAAAAGTATCTGTCATTGGCATTGTTGTTATTGTAGAAGTATTTGTCTTTGGCAGCATTGTCGTTGTTGTTGTTGTAGAAATACTTGTTGTCGTTGTTGTTCTGATTTTCGTTGTATCCTCCTTCTGTGTACTTAGTGTCACTCAATTCATTTTGCTTGCCACCAAAAGCATCCTTGTTTTTGTAGTAGTAGTTGTTGTTGCTGCTGTAAGATCCTGTGAGCCTTGTTTCACTCATTTCGTGTTGGTTGGTGGTATAAGCATCCTTCTTGGAGTTGTAGTTGTTGTTGTTGGAGTACTTGCTAGTGTCCTCCGCAGACATAGTTTTATATGGTTGGTAATTGGTGGTGGTGGTGGGAGGGTTCAAACCAGATTCATGACCATACAGGCCATAACTGTTTTCAGTCTCTGGGATGAAGGCTGGTTGTTGTTGTTGTTCTGGCTTGTTTAATGGTCCTTCATTGTTGGTAGCCTCTGTCTCTCTGAGGTTATTGGTGTTGGTGTTGCTAGGCGAGACTTTGCTGAAGAACTGGCTGTCTCTGGCATTAACTTGGAAGGACAATAAAAGGGTTGCTAAGAACAGGAAAGGAATGAGTTTTGAGATGGGAGCCATAGATGAATGAGGAAAGAGAGAAGGATGGTATGGAGTGTGTGTACTGACGAGAAGCTGTGATTGTCCAAGTTTCTTTATATAGAAGACCTTAAGCCCTTTTTCTCCTTTTTTTCCCCTCTCAATTTTTCCACTCATCTAATGCAAATAGGAGGAGGATTTTGTGATGATTGTGGTCCCTACATAAGGGAAACTTTAGCTGATTGAAATGGGCCCCCTTAAGTTTTTTTTTTTTTTTTTCGTTAGTCATATTATAATATATTACTCATGGCAGGACTGAGAACTGTGATTATTTTCTTTATGCAAAGCAACATCATCATAAATTTGCAAATCTTGTTCTGCAAAAAATCCTTGTTAATTTTGCTAGCATTCTCGTTCACCTTATCCAAATTGAGCTTAACATTTAATTAACTTATGTTTCGTTACTTCTAAGCAAACCCATGACATGATTGATTAGTATTTAGTAGTAGCATGATCATCTAATGTGCTAACCATTGCAAGAATGCAAATAGCGTCATATTAGACTATTTTTTAGGTACTAGGAAATATACAAACAAATTACTCATTCCAGTGATCCAAAAACTGTCGCAATGATTGCAACCGTAGTGCTAATTGCACCATAAACTTGGCCATATGTCCCAAAATTAACTTCAAAATGTTAGCATTTTGGGGAAAAAAAAAAGTAATCATATTCATACCCCAACCCTGTTAAAGAAAATCCCGATGTAGATTATTGTTAATTGAGATTAAGTAAGGCTCTTATTAAATGGTGGGGCAGATGATGGTGTTCACAAAAAGTTGAAGCTTGGACGATGATTAAGGCACAAGGGGTAGTAGAATGGAAACAAGAGGAAGAGAATGAAGGCCTGGTGGAGTAATTATGCGTGAATTGTGGAGTGGGTGGGACATGAAAAATTGAAAATAATGGCATTTGGTGCACACACCATGTGCCCTCCCCTCAATGCTTTGTCTAGATCATGGACTGCACCTACCCTTTTACCACATTGAGGTTGATGACTGAAGAACGCGGTTATTCAGTGGGCTTTTCTTAAAGTGCATGCGTCCCTTAGGCCCTCTCAGTTCCTTTGCACATGAAATCAGTGCAGGGTTGCTACTCAATTTCACTTGTCTATCTTTCTTTTCGTTTCGGCCACATTACTTGACTTTGGTTTCTTTTTGTTTTTAATTAAACAACCTTACTGTTCCTTAAACTTCAAGATTTCAACTAGTGAAAAAATAAACTTTGGTAAACTCATTAGCATAACAAACAGGACCAACAACTGAAGACTAAAGATTTTCAAGTGTATGCCTCCAAGAGAATGTACAATTGTGTGACACGCACTATGCATGCTCGACCTATGCAGAGACAACGTGGATACGGATACAACATGATATGAATTTGAAAATACCATAGCTTTTTAAAATTTAAGTTTAAATTAAAAGAAAAAATCAATATTTTTAAAATAATTATCAAACTTAAAAAAGATTATCTTTGATTAAAAAAATACATTTAAGAAGTGAATAAGAAAATATGAATTATTTTTTAAAAATAGAAAAAAAATTGTAAAAGTGAAACAGATAGTGTTGGACAGTCACTGTTTTGAAGGGTCCACGCTTCCTTGATGTCAACTCCTTTAGGTCAGCCATGTTAACTAATGAGGGAGGGTGAATATGAGTATATGATGTTACCACATTCATGTCATACAAAGAGTATGTAAGTTGGGGATCAGCTTCAAACTCATTTAGTTGCAATAGCCAAAAAGGAAAAAGAAAAATCAGAGCAGGTTACCTCAACGATCATGCATGTTCTGTTTGCAAATTTCAACATAAGAAAATAAAATCCAAATATGAATTTATTTGTTCTTTAATGGGAGAAATCTTATATTTTTCTTCTGACTTTTTCCTTATGTTAAGATATTACACTTGTTGTTTATAGTTAGATAATAAAAGAAATTAGGATAGCTATCAAAAGCTAGAGGGATGAACAATATGAAAAGGTGAAATTGAAGGTAAAGAAGCTTCCATGTCTCATTTTTGTGCAGTAAGCAAGAGAGGGAGAAGAAGGTGCACCTATAATCATGGTTGCTGATTTTATAAAAGCAAAAGTTTAAAGTTCTATTCATCCAAAAGAAAGGAATAAAGTTCAACTACTTGACTAGTCTAAAGCCCTCCACCAAAAAAGAAAAGAGTAAATTGGTTACAATGTTAAATCCTGTAAGAGCTGAAGAAAGAAATTAAAAAGAAAAAACTTAGCTAATATGCACCCTTCCTATTATTTGGAATTTCGTAATCATTGTACAATGCTTGATGTTAGTCAATAAAAATGTTATCTTTACCATAGTATTATACCACCCATAAATGAGAAATTAATCTTATCAAAATACTGTCAGCTGTTAAAGGAGCCAACATGGACACATCTTTCAATTTTCTATTTTAAATTAAAACATTTTTATTATCTTTATTTAATCAAACTCATTTGCATAAGTTAAAAAAAAAATTAAACTATATAAAATAAATTGTCAAAAACTTATGAAGCTTATGAACTATTTTTATATACTTTCTATAAACCCTTCCACACACCTCCCTTCCCCCTAAACCAATTTTGAAGATTTTTCAAAATTGAAAATTTCAACATGTATTTCATGTAATGTAATTTATGTTTATTTAATATTAATAAAATAATCTTCTGTCAATTAAAGTAACTTTACTTTGATAAATTTTATTATATTAATTTATATTTTACCTTTTTTATAAATATTAACTTAATTACAATTTTGGGCTCTTGGTTTGTAATTTGTTTAATTTTGGTCTCCCAACATGTAATTACGTGATATTGGTTCCCTTAATTTTGTATTTGTTTGATTCTCCTAATTGCTAATTACACAATTTTAGTCCCACTAGTTTGATTCTTGTGCAATTTTGATTCTCCTATTTTTAATTGTATGATTTTAATCTCTGTTTTAAAAAAATTACATTAATTAATTCTTCATTCAACTTTAACAAAATGATAAAATAAATACTAATTATGATTATATGTCTATGTTCATTTAACTCGCCAAGCGTAAAATATCATGTCATAATAACATGCACCAATGTAGGGTTGATATTTTGTTACCTGATTTTCATGTGCAAATGCTTTTTATTTCTTTTTATTGTTCTTAGTCTTTCCAATGAATTTCTCTCAATTTTTTTTCTTTCGACAAAGACCCATAAACTCATCAATATAATTAACAAAAAATAAGCATGATATTCAATATATTAACAATCAACTTATCACTCTCAAAAAAATTTAAATGGTAGGTTAATAAAAGAAAAATTTAAAAATTACAAAAACTAAATTTTTTACAATTAAAAGTTGGAAGAATAAAAATGAAATAAATTATAAATTAGAGAAACTAAAATTGATTAATTACAAGTTGGTCACAAATATTTAAACAATGCATGCTCTATTTGATATTAAAAATAAATAAAAGAATGAAATAAAATAATATGATCACTCACATATTAGTAAATTAGGAATGGATTTTTCTTATATTTTATTTTTATATTTATGTAATACGTTTTTATTTATCTCTTTATAGGTATTAAATAAGTTTAGCATATTCAAACTGTAAAATATTATAAAAAGAGAGATAGTTATTAAAATCATATTAAACAAATCGACTAGACGAAAAAATAGGCTAGGTAAATTTCAATCAATTAAAAAATAGGTGGAGCAAAAAGCTAATAAAAATTGATAAAATCGAGAAGAACTAGTGCAAAAATTAGTTTGAATTAGTCACTAGATTTTTTTATTTTAAAAAAATAAAACATTTTTCAAATAAATAGAGTCATACATGATATTTACATATAAATTATAATTATCTAACTATTTATTTTAATTTTTTATTTTATAAAACATGTAACATATCAGTTTATACTAATTACTATTCTTTCAAATGACAGATAAAAATTCAACTATCCAATTTTTTTTCATATCCCAAAGAAGTGATTCGAAGATTAAGGGGAAAAATATTAACGGGTCAAGTAAAAATTTTCTTCTAAAAAAATATGAAATCAATAAAATGAGATATGTAATGTTTGATGTGGAGAAATTCACATCACATTTCAAACTTAAGCTAAGCCAATCTCTTATCTTTCTTTTTGGTTTTTCCTTTGAACCTTTATTCTTCTTGGATTAAGAGAATTGAACGCGCATTTGGCGGAACTTTGATTACTTTCTGCTGTCTTTCCAAAAGGAATAAATTAAAAATAAATAAGTATGGTGGAATAGAAAGTCAAGTCAAAGATTAAAGTTTTTATTTTTAAAGTACCAACAGAAGTATAGGGTATAATGTGTAGCATTTAATTTAGTAGGAATTGCTAAATTCTTGTCAAAACTTTCGATGATTGAATTCCCATTGTTTGCCAACTTTAAATAAGCAATTAACTCCATTATCATCTCTTCAACAATCACCTTTAAATGGATCATGTAATAAGTTATAAAGAATTGTACCAATAAACCGAAATAAACTATTAACCCGAGGAAGACAAATTCATCATTTGACAAAAATGCGGCCATTTCATTTCTCTTCATGTGATGAAACTTGGAAGCTACATGTACATTTAATTGTTCGAAGAATTATTAATGCACAGAACAGGTTAGCAAGATCCTAAAATTTACATGGTGAAAAGAGAGAACAAAAGAGATCAAGGTATAATAAGTCTTTATTAATTAATGAATATCTATTTCAAGAAAAAAAAAAAAATGAGGCTGCCATGAAGGCCCTGTTCCAAAATGCTTAAAAAGACATGGATCCATTTTGCATGGATAATAAACTCTAATGTCTACTCATCAATTCTAATCAGAAGAATCTTCAGAGACATCAGAGTCTGAGTTATCTTCATCTACAACTCCATTTGCCACACCATTTGAACCCTCACTCATAAAATCTGCCTCTGAACCATCCTCTTCATTCTCCCCATTGCTATTCTCATTATCATTGTCATTATCATCTTCAGAAACTTCCACATCATCATCACTCACTCTAACCAAATCCCTACTCCATCTATTGGCGGTACCATTAAAACCTATCTCCCAGTTTCCTTTATCATACTCCACAGCTTGGACATTGTCATCAGATTCAGCTTCTTCAGCACTGTTATTAATGTCAGCAGCTCCCATGTGGATGGGAGTCACAAGACAAGCCTTTTCATCATCTGAGTCCTCAACCAAGCTTCTCAGTGGTTCTATAACAGTATTGGAACTACGAGTAGCACCCCTATGGCTCAGCAGCAAATCTTCAACAGCCCTTTTCTCTGCTCTTCTTTTCCTGATTGTTCGGCGACCGCGTCCACCAGCTTGTCCTTGTGATCCTCCTCCCTGCTGCTTTATCCTTTCACTTAGATTCTCAGTGACCTTAACTTTATGGCGGCCTGTATCTTGTTTGGAACCATACAATGTTTTAAATAGCTTTTTACCCTGTCCATTATCATGACTCCCCCGACCACGTTTATTGTTGCTTCGCACAATTTTCACAGGAGTAGATTTAACGTTCATGAATTCATCATGGTCCAAGCCTGCTGCTTCAGCCACTTTACTAGATTTGGAAGGATTATATCTTGAACGAAGCTTCTGCACAAACACAAAGTTACATGATTAGTGAACATTAGCATGAAAATTTTCCAGCAAAGCACCCACACCTTGTCGCTTAAATATAACAAAAGGGACTTGTGCAACACTGCAACAGAAAACTTGACATCCAATCTGCTTGGTGAATGTCTTGGACAAAATATATCAGCTTCATAATTCTCAGATAAAATATAAAATGACAGAAGACCTCATAGGAAATCTTTCATAGTAATACCAAATTAAAAGTCTAAAAGCTATCTAACAAAAAACAGAAAAATAAAAGAAACTCACAATGTATTCTCTATCTTTCTTCTCACAAGGCTCAGACTTATCATGCAGAACGTAGACAATGGATGCATCAAACTCAAAAAGTTTTAGTAACACAGCTGAAGTTGTCATTGGAACCCATGGAAGTACAGCAACTGCTTCAGGATCAGTAGTGGTATTCGCAGCGCCCTCTGACACAGTGCTCAACCCCAACAGTTCCACCGTGGTTGAGAAGGTTGATGATAAAAAATCTCGTTTTAATGCTCTCTCAAATTGGGTCAATATCTGAAAAAACAGATTGTTAAATTTAGAAATGATCAAGTAGATATTGATTATTTTTGAAAATATTGTGAAGATATGGAAGATAAAATTTTAATAAAAGTGGCAAACCTGTAGCAGTTCTTCAACAGAAGATGATTTGCTCAATTTCATACCCCAATGCCTCCTAATATCTTCTGTCCAAATTGATTGAAATGCTTCAGGTGGAACAGATGCCTGTAAATCAGAATATGAATAACTGAGTATGCTATATCCCTCAAACAGTGCATTTTGACATTTAATGAAGAAAGCAAGGGGCTCAATGCTAAGAACGCAAAGCACATCACCAACGCACCTCAATAAAAGCCAGAAGGGCCTTAACCAATCTTGTTCGCAAGGGAAGAGAAGAATCCGAAATACAAATATCTTTTGATGACTTGTCTCCACATTGAAAAGCATGTTCAGAAAAATTAAATCCATTACTTGAGGGAAAAGTCCGGTGGCAACTATTGCAATGGGAGTCTTCAAAGAAATAAGGGTTGAGACAGATATCACAGATGACAGCCAGAGGTTTGCATCTCTTTTTCCCATATTTCATTGCAGATAATACAGATGAGTTGTAGCATTCTTTCCACATCCATTTTTGAAAATCTTGATACCTTCTAAACGCAGATTTCTTGTCGCTCTCACTTTTCCCAAGCTCTATTTTAAAGGATGATGAAGCTTCGGAAGTATCAGAATTCAAGCCACAGAGGGTACTGCTAGGACTGTCAGATCCAGTATGGCAATCAGGACTGGAATCTGTTTCATCAACTTCATTTTTAACACAAATTTCACCTCCGATTCTAATTTTGGCACATTGGGTATTCTTTCGAACATTTTCCTTGAAGGAACTCTCAATCTTTTGCAACATAAGACGCAAATGAGATTCCCTGATCCCACGTGAATCAAGTGAATTCAAAAGCACATCAAAGGCCTGGATAGGATTAGTGGAAAAATTATATTATAAACAAGTAAGAACATTAAGCTACATTTCAATTCACAAAATATTGGCATCTAAAGATAAAAAAACAGAAACAAGACAATTGGGTGGTTAGGTCAGCCCATATATGTAAACCACTAATTCAGAAACCAGCTCCAGAACCATTGAACTGGCCAAAAACCAGTTAGTCATGCACACCAGTTCATTATTATATATGGGTTATTTGTTTACTGTTAGAAAATGCTAAAAATTGCCCATGCAAGGCTCAAACTGCTCAATGTAACTCTCTAGGTTAATGAGCAAACCATTCTACCCCTAGTCCATCACACATCTTTTGTGAATATATGCTTTACAATAGCATATATAACAAACCACCTGTTTTTAATTCGGACACACACATAAGCCTTCCGTTTGACCATGTTTGAATAATTAAATCATGAAGCAATGCTGTCACTGGTTCAATGACCAGTCAAGTTTTTCAAAAATGTCTATTAAAGTCAGAAATGAAATGATCAGCAGAGCAGGGATTGTCCTATTATTGAAAGGAGGGGGCGCACAAATGGTTTACCTCCTCAGAATCAATGAGCCTCCAATTGCCATCATGATATTCAATAAAGATTCTGCCAGTACCAGGATCATCGGAAGAAGCAGATGAAGCAAATTGCCAATAACGGTTATGTCTGCGATCTTGCCCCAGGGGTAAGGATCTGTAGACATACATCTTCTCCACCATGTGGGAAATATAAGTTTTCAATTGAGAACGTGACCTTTTTGAAAATTGTGAAAATGGCTGAGTCTGCAGGTTATCTGGAACACTGCAGAGATCATGACCTGATGAGTGCTTCTCAATAGACAGGCTCAGTACAACAGAAGCTAACTTTTGATTTTCTGCAGTGCTGGGTGATGCCTCATTATTATTATTGTGGCCAATATTAATGTCAAGCAATGGACTTTTGTTTCCCTCCACAGCAGGACATGTGTATTGAGTTTCAACTTTATTCCCACTGAAATTATCATCTTTTAGACGAAATTTATCTATCTGTGCTTCTGCCCACTTGTGCTTCTTCAGAGTATTTGCTGCTTCCAAACGATCCTGAACAACTGTGTCAATTTGATAAACTAAAAACAAGTCAACTTAAGGAAAGACATTATATGGAATAAAGTTTACCTCAAGAACAACACGGATTGAATTTCCTTCATTTGCCACACCAATCAATACAACAAGAGCATTTAGACGCTCCTCTACACTAAGATCAGAATATTCTCCTTCTGCAAGTCCTTGAACCCATGACTCTCCAGGCTTGCTTTCATCAATTTCTTTATTATCTTCACCAAGATTTCCAGCATTCAGATATTCACTAGCACCAGGTTGTCCAGTGATAGCACTGGAACTATCAGCATTCTTGGAACCACTCTCAGGAAAACAAGACAGATCCTTATCAAACTCCTCTTGAAGTTCAACATTACAACCCAAATTTTCTTTTCCATTTGATGAGAAATCATCACACTGTTCAGATGTTTTGTTAGCACTTGGTGGATTTAACAAATCATCAACTTCAGGGTCCTCATCAAGTTCATCACTTTCTGACTCCTCTCTTTCAACATCATCAGCATCTTCCCCAGCTTGAAACCCATTTGCAAATATCTGAATTTTCTTTCTTGCTTCTGAAAGAATGGACTCAGTATCAGCAGGATCCTTTCTAAATGCAGCACGTAGGCGATATGTTGATGGAGCTGTCCTTTCAAAAAGTTTGGCATCTCTTGTTAATGCAACAGAAATTGATGCCTCAGGTGTTTTGCTTGTTGTTAGGTCCCGAAGACCAGATTTCTGACAGGTAAAAAGAAATAATAAGTAAGAACAAACATGAATTAAAAAAAATCACTTAATACAGATATGAAATCACCTGAATTTTTTCTGCAAGCTCTAGTACTGTCAACCCCTTGTTACCCTCAAGAGAGAGAACATGAAACGCAGCAAACTTAACAGTTCCAGGAGTTAACCGGTGCCTAGATTTTCGAGGAGCTAATAGACCTTTTTCATGCATTTTTGCAACTGCATTTTTGGCAGCTGAACCATTACGAAGTGTAGAAATGATATCTTCACAACTTCTTCCCTGTATTTAGATATACATTTTGATCCACTTATTCAATACAATGACATGAAGACCACAATATAAAAAAGCATTTAATTGCTTATAAAAATGCATACAAAAGAAAATAAAATTGTCAGCAAAACATTTAATGGTAACAAAAAGTCTCTACAGGTTCAGGTCAAAAATAAAAGCGAATAAGAAGCCAGAACAATGGAAATATGTGTTAATGGTATTTAATGTCTTAAAATCAATCAAATATGGAGGTATTAACATAACATGAGAATCTTCAAAGCTGCATCGAAAAATAATAAAGCAAAATAAAAGAAAACCAACCTCATCTTTATCATTTGCTTTTGACCAGGTGATACTTCTTTTCTTGAACTGTGGTCCATATCCTGCAGATAGTGCTAGCTGTCGGAAAATTTCTGGCCATGTCAATTGATTTAAGTGCATTTGCCAATTTCGTATGTTAAATCCCCAAGCATATGCCTAACATAAAAAAGGCAATATTACGACTGAAATCCTTTAAATAAAACTACTGTTTCTCTGGAAAATGACAGATAAAAATGTTAAAATTATTTTATCTTACCCCTTCCACAATCTCTGGATGGCCACCTCCAGAATTAGTAGCACCATTCTGACTCATTCCTAATCCTGTAGGCGTCCTTGCAACATCTTCAATGTCTTTTATTATCAACTTAAGAAGAGCAACATGTATCTCACCCAGCAATCTTGAATCCTGAGATAAAATGATTTGAACACCCAGAATGAACGAGTGCACAAAAGTAGTTAAACTGACAGCATCAAATCACCAGCAAAGTCCAGATGACTCACATAGTCATGAAGTGCCTGAACAAACTCATCTAGAGTAAAAGGCCATAACTCCAGAACATCAGCAAAAGTAATAAAAAATCTCCAAACCTGAAATAGACCACTACAACTTTCAAACCATAAATTCAGAAGCCTCAATTCAAGAAATTATCTAAATTAAGAAAGGAAATCATGAAGTTCACAGAACCCCTGACTTAACAAACACGCTCCACCCACTAAAAAAATAACAGGAAAGAACTTTTTCAATTATAGAATGCAGACAGACAAAAAATGCCCGATGCACAATTTTTTAATGCAATATCAATACCAGATACAGTATCAAACTAGGAAAAGACCAAAAGAATATCCATGTAAACCTGATCTCAGTCTAACATACATGCAACATTAATCTCAACAACCGTATGTCCTTAACTATCTTATACAGGCAGACAAAAAAGGCATTAATGTACTAATTCAAATCTTGATGAAAAGTAAAGACAGACCACTGTCACGACCAGATCAGAATAAAGAATATGGTGCATGATAATTTATGGAATTTGTACACTATGAATATTAAAAAACCAAAAGTGATGATGACAACATACCATGAGAAGATTGCCAACATTCTCTTCTGAGTTGATCCAGGGTTTGACTGCAAATGGCTTTCTTAGCCTTACACTCTTTGGTGGGAAAACACTCAATGAATCTAAATATATGAATAAGGTTTCAGTACTATAATTAGAAACTCATTCCTTTAATATGTTTCAAATTAATTACTGAACGCCCAATGAAACCAATTGTATAAAATTACTGATAGAAAAATAAAAATAAATTGCTCACCCCTAAATGACTCAAGATTTTGCAGAGTATCAAAATCAAGATGGATAATAGAGTAAAACCCTTTGCTTGAGGCAGCCAACTCCATCATTTCCAGCTGTTCATCCTCCATAAGTTCCATAGATTCCTTAGCCATTCTTCGGGCAGTTGCCTTCTCAAGGGCAGCTTTCCTTCTCTCTGCCTCTTTCTCTTTGCGAAGCTCTTCTCTTCTCTTCATTTTCTCTGCCTTTTAAAATAGAATATGTGAGAATACATTAAATATTTTCAGATGTCTAAATATTAGTAAGAAAAGGTTATTATCATTATGCTTAAACACTTACCCTTAAATTTTCTTTCACCAAAAGTTTTTCCCTTCGTTCAATTTCCCGTTTCTGCTCCCGTTTTGCTTTTTCCTCTTCTCTCTGTCTCTCCCGCATCAACCTCTCTTCTTCCCTCCTCCTTTCGCGATCTTGTCTCTCCATTTCTTTTTTTATTCGCTCTTCACTCTAAAAAGGGAGAGGGGGAAAAGCAGAGATTAATTAAAGAAATGTGAATGCAATTTGTTTTTTAACCTCTATAAAAATGTATGATAGCAAGGTAAACTGAATTCATTTCAATAAAACCTTTCGTCTAAGGTTATCTTGTTTATCAAGCATTTTCTGGATCCTTATCTCATGGGATTCAACTTCCTTTGTAATTCTGGCATCATCACTCTACATAAATACAGTTAAAGATATAAAATCATCCTTTGCGAAGAATATATTATATACTTTAGAGAGTTGACCACTGAGCAAAATTACAACATTATTGCTCAAAAATACCTTTCGCTTCCTCTCAATCTGCACTGCATTGTTATTTAAAGCTTGCCCATTAGGTAAAGCATTGGGATTTTCTGGTCCAACAATTTGGGAGTTCATTCTGACATTAGCTTTGTTTGTGTACAACTCCCTTTGGGGAGCATCATCATCATCCTGAGAATGAGATTGATCGGGAACCCCATGCTTGTCTTCTTGAGACAAAAGATGAACTCGAGAAGAATGACCTTCAGTAGCATGAATTATAGATAGCTGTTCATTTCCAAGTAAAAGTGGGGGATCTCTGGCAGGACCCTCCATTGGATCATGTAAATGAGATCTGCTGGACTGTCCAAAACCTTCAGACCTAATGCCAGATTGGTTCGGTTGAAATTGATATTCACAGAATGTCCTTGCCATAGCCTAGAATGGAGCTCATTTCAAATCAAAGCTCAAATAAAGCAACTAAGCAGTAAAAGTAAACACTGCCAGCAGTCCAAATAATTTAAACAAAGAATAACAGCAGGTTTTCCAGTTCCTCAATTGTAACAGAAAACACAGAAGATTATTTGTATCAAAAGCAGAGTTGTCCATCCCAGCTAGTGGTGCACTAGGTTTTCATAATTGAGATTATAACTAAAGATAGGAGAGGGATGAGAGATCATAAATCATGTGATCACATGGATCATAAGATCTTACCAAAAATATAAAATATGATAATATAGTTAACTAATGCATGTAATCATATCATTAAAATTCAAGGAAGAATTTAGATATTTATTTTTTATTTTTGTGTTGTGATATTCCAATATATTTTATATTCAATAGCAATTATAAAAAGAAAAGCAGCAGAAAGAGAACAAACATAAAAATCAGTCCAGATATCTTGTGTTTGACATGAAGACCCAACAAAGCCCAATTTGTAGATTTCAGTAACAAAAATAAGAGAGGAAGAGCTTCCTCAGCAGTTCAGCTGGCCATAGTAGAATTCTAATAGACCAGAAAGAAGAGACACTCGAACACCCCATCACATACCAGAAACACCTGGGCCAAAGAACAGAGATGCCCCAACACAAACTCTCCAACACAGATAACAAAGAAGTCATTCTGAGAAACATGAGAGATGAGTTGGGACAAGTGGAAGAAATGACTTTGAATGGAGTCACATCAGAGAGGGCTTTGAAGCTTGCAGAGACAAAGGATCTAGAGCAAAAGAAAAATCAACAAAAACAGATCTTTAGGCTTTTTGGTCACACAACCCAAACCCAAAACCCAACTGCATCAAACAGATTCAGATTGCCAAAAATCGCAGATCCCATGATCCGACAAGTATGATTAGCAATTTCACACCAATTCATCAAATTCTCATTCTCCGTCATGATCCAGGACAGAGAGGCTACCAAAACACATAAGATAATGCAATTCTACAATCTTAATCACAATTTTCTTTTACAACAGTGGCACCCAAAAATGGTATAGCAGCATGGCAAACAGGGAGATGCACAGTTTTAAAATTTTTGCGCATACATGTAATCTATCTATACTATATACACAATTACATATATAATGCTCAAAAAACACCCAAAATTCAAGACATATTCACAATTATCAATAAAAACTTGTTGGTTTTAAGCAAACATACAAGTAAATAACAACAAAAGTAAAGGAAAAGTGGCCAAAAAAATAACAAAGACAAAGACAGGTGGTTAGAATGAGAGAGGGGATGTGGCCTGCTCTTTTGAGAACAGAGGGCTGCACCACACTTGCAATCACAGGAAAATGGCTGGAGATGTGATGGTTTCTTGCGAAGGTGGGTGGGCATAGAGAAGGCTTAGTCTGTTGAGAAGTGAAAGAGAGAACCAAGGAGTGTCACATTTGTTGCTAAAAGGGGGTATTATGTTTTTTATTTTTCCTTTTAAGGTCTGACCAAGGTCAAAATTGGGTTTTTGTCACCCATCAAGATTTTGTGCCGCAATTGTGTACAACAGACCCATAAATTGGATAGCTATTTGGCCACAATGACAAAAACGTCACTGCCACACAACTACGTCTCTTTAGCTCTGTGAAAGCACTGTAGCACTGGCATTGTAGACTATTAATAACCCTGATCTATAGAGCATTTAAAAAGATAATCTACACATCAAGACAGGACAAAAAACACTCAAATTAAATATCATAGAGATATATCAACCAAGCAAGCAAAAAACCTAGACATGCTATTTATTAACAACTCAAGCAATGAAAGCTCCAGCTACCTCCAACCTTATCCACCAGTTTCCTTTTCCATTTTAATGGTACAATATTTGCATCTAAATAAAAATGTTTTAAGATATAAAAAAGTACATATTTGTCAACAAAAAAAAAAAAATAGAAGTCTGTGTATTCTGTTTCAAGCTGGTACTGCAAGTCGATCATTCAAAAAGAGGTTGAAAGCTAAACAGCACAAGAACTAAATGAACACATACCTATACATTGACATTGGACAGGCATTTAAAGGATTAAGATTCACAACAGTTTACTACATCAATTTTAGACCTTCGATTAATTTTAATAAATTATAAATGATAAATTTATCTTTTAAAATCCTTCTAAAATTTATTAAATTTCAATGGTGAGATTGTGAACTGCACACCCTACATTTCAAAATAAACTGTTGAGTATCCAATTCCACATCCAAAATTCCAATATTGTGACTGATAAAGATATGTAGCACATGCAGTGCAAGAGAAGTTTCATTTTATTGACCAAGATACTTCACTGTTATAGAATAAAATAAAGAAAACCAACCTTATTTGTTCTAACATCACGTCTTTCATATAATTTGCCGTCATAGGCAAAACTAGGTCGCTTCTGCCGTTCTGTAACTGTTGCTCCAGAAAAATATACGAGAAGTGTCACAAGCAATTCAAGCATGCCAAGATAATTAGGAGATAAGAAATGTAAAACACAGCATACAATATAAAAGAAACAGCAGCATTCAGTCAACTCAATAAGTGAAAATAGGATCACAAGTTCTATGATTATATATATATATATATATATAATCATAGAACTTGTGATCCTATTTTCATATATATATATTATACACATACCTATAGGTGCACCAAATGCATCTGGTGGCAATGAATCAAACTCCACTCCTAGAATGGGTCCATCTTCCCTCAATGGCTCCCCTAACTGTGCCTCTACACAAGCAATTGCTCTAAGCTGCATCTTAGCCTGCGGGGACTCGTAATAACTGGGCACACCCCGGGGAACTGCATTCTGGGGCTCCGTTCGAGCATATGGGCTGGACCCCAAACGCAACCCAGATCCATACTCATGACCAATCTCAGGGTCATCCGTGGGGGAATCCAACAAAGGCTCCACCGCCGCCTTCCGTGGAGGTTTCTTGGGCGGCAAGTCCTTCTTGTCCTTTAACCTCCTATGGCAGAACCACATCTGAAGCTGGCGATCCGACAACCCCAACTTCTCAGACAGCTCCACCCTCATTGTCTCCGAAGGATAATTATCCACTAATCAACCAAAAATCACAAATTAACCCAAAAAAGAAAAGAAAAGTAAAGAAAAGAAAACCTTACAATTCAAAATTACAGCAAAAAATTAAAACAAAATTATAAACACAACAAAATTGAAAAATTTAAAATTCAAGAAAGAAGGGGTTAGTGCCAGGGACTAACAAGCATAAGCTTTCTCGAGGGTTTCCAACTGAAAAGGGGTCTTCATCTGGCGCTTGGGCTTGCTCTGCCCCTCATTGGAATTCACAACCTTGCTATTGCTTCCATTGTTGTTGTTGTTATTGTCATTACTATTATCATCTGAGCCACCCCTTTTCCGATCATAGTCTCCCTCCGAACCGGCCTCGCCCTCCATCGACGATAACCGACCAAAGATCGAGACTTTCCTGGCTACACTCAACAAACCCTAGAATTCACAAACCCGCTAAAGAACAAGAAACCCAAATTAGGGTTCCTCAAGAGAATCAATTTCGTTCTTTCTTTAATTCTTTATGCCTCTCTCTCCCTCTCTCTGACTCTTTCTTGAACCCAAATTCCGTTATCATCAAGGAATTGAAAGCCACAATAATTATTATCCCGGGATGGAAATAACAACAAAAATAAATGAAGAAAAGGAAAAATATAAAAGTAGCATGCAAAGAGGAATTGAAAGAAAGAACAACGAAGAAGAATAAAAGACCCAAAAAAACAATAGTAAGAATATTAATAATCGAAAAACAAAAATAATAAACCAACAACAGTTGTTCTTGACTGCTACTCCTACTATGATTCCACCACCACCTTTCATAATACTTCCCTTTTTATTTTATTTTTCGAATAATAATCCGTTTTCTTTCTATCCTTTTTTTTGGGTTCTCTTTTCTATGAACGAACGGTGTCAGTGTGAGTGTGTTTGTTGTTCCCGTCAAACAGGACTTTAACGAGGGCTGAAAATCCAAACACACCAAATCAATTTGGGTTCCTATCTTAAATTTAATGTCTTATTTTTTATTATTTTTGCTAAACCTATCTAAGATGAAAATCGTGAAATGTTTTCTTCTGTGAGCTTTGCATGTGCGTGTGTCTCTATCTCGGTGGTGTATTAAATTCGATGAACATTTTTCGGAGGTTCTTTTCTGGGGGCTTTCTATTTTTTCTTTGCTTTTATTTTTATTCCTAAAAATGTAAATTATGGCGTGTGTGGGGAAAGGAATGAAATGCTTGCTGATTCTGCTTCGGATTGGTTCTTTAAACTTGTTTTTGGTTTTCCGCTTCGTTGATTTTCGGGGATTTGGGATCTTTCATGTTCCACGTTTATGTTTTTGTGGGCCTGGGACCACAATTTTGTGGGGCCCGCTTCTTTTTTTAAATATTAATCTTATACATACATATAATTAATAACTTTAATAACTCTTATTATTATTATTATTATTATGCCCAACGTATTTTTCACTAAAAATAAAAATTTAGCTAAAAAAAAGGTGTCATTAATTCACATAATTGACGTTATATTATAATTACATATATTTTGAGTTTTACAATATTTTTACTGATTTTTCTGCTTAAATGTATATGATGTAACGTTTATGCATATATTGCTTTAATGTTAAACTTAAATTGAACTTTAATGGATAATTTTTATATATAAAATTTTATTTTTAATTTAATTATGTTTTATTTTGTAAAATATAATAAGGTTTGATCAGGTAGATATAGATCTAACATGTAGAAGTATACCAAGAAATTAATTTATATAAAAACATGAATGCTTTTTTAACCTAATATTGTGTCCTACCTCTGCTTGCAGAAATGTTTAGATGCAGATATATGCAATGGCAATTTGAGAATGGTTTTTCTTAAGTTAATTATAATGCATGAGTTTATAACATGAACTTCAAATTTTTAACAGAGTTTATCGTTCCTTCAAAATGGATAAATGTGAGGGCTAAGAAGTTTTTGTCAAATTGTGTAATTTTGTCTTTTATTAAGGGAACTCCCTGTTAGTTGGAATTAGAATTGAAAAACGTAATGGATCAATATTAAATTTGCATTACAAAATCTTATTTCTTTGAAAAAATAATGCTATTACCTTAATGTCGAAAAGTTAGTCATGTTCTCTTAATTTAAGCTAAAGTTTGTTTATTATTACTTTAATTTTAAAGCACCGTTGGTATACAAATTTTTACATTGTCAATTAATTAGAATATGTGATCATCTAATGTTTTAAAAGCATTAAAAAAATTAACAATTTGTACTTATTTTGCAACACATGGCCTATAAAAGCATTTGCGTTTTTTTTTTTCGGCTAACAAAACTTACAAATTGTGCAATGACATATTCTTCTATTTTGATTCATATACATAACACAATTTTTATTTTAATCTTTATATAAATTAATTACAAGGAAAGAAAAGTATTTTGAGACTTAATATTAAAAAATTATATATAAAAGTAAAAAAAAAATCACCATCAAACATGAGTTAAAAAATGTTATGATAATCTATGATAAACTATAAAAAATTGATTTAATAATTTTAAATAATAGTATTGTAATTTAATACAGTTATAAAAATTATTATGAAAAAATGATGTTTAAGATTTAGACAAAACTTAAATAAACTTCTTTAAGTAATGCTCTCCAGTTAAAATTAAAATTACCTCATTAACCAAAATAACAAAGGAATGCATTCAAAGATTATATCAGTATCAAACATTAATCTTTAATTTTAGTTGGAGAGACTAAAATATTGAAGTATTATATATAAATTTTATTTTCAAACAATCTTTTAAATAATCTCTTAAATGTATCATCCGATACAATACCAAAATGCTTTACTATTAAATACTAACTTTTCATGACAATTTTCATAACCACATTAATCTACACTTATATTATTTAAAATTAATAAATTATTTTTAAAATTTTAATTAAAAAACAAATATAAACATATCATTTTATTTTCTACAGAAAAAATATCATTTTATTTTAAAATTTATATTCATAATCATATAACATAATTTTTAAAATAAGCTTATAATAAAAAATTTCAAAATAAACATAAACCCACACATTACGTAACCCAGATACCTCATCGTCTAGTTTAACAACAGTTTCTGCCTCTTATAATAAGACCGAACATAAAAGAGTGGATCGAGCCAGCAGGCTCTGAAAAAGAACCTACAAATACAATGATCTTCCAAGCACTGTTGCTACCGACCAATTTTACAGATTTCATAACAGTTTTATAAGAGCTCTTTATGGGAATCAAGGATATTTCATTTCTCAGTCAACACGAGAAGACTGCAAATCAGCAAGTCATTGTTTTCTGAATGAACAAGAGAAAAATAGAAAAGATAGAAAATATTTGACAAAAAAAGGAAAAATAAAAGCGCGCTATCACAAGGATAGTCCAATACTGAACCAGTTGCTCAATTATTTTGAAGGAAATTTGTGATGATTTACAGTGCAAGACATCCTCCAATTTGATGCCTTTCTTCTTATGCTGCTTTCGCTTGCTGACAACAAAACAAAAAGAATAGTGTGTCAATTGTATTTGCGTATTGTTATACATATGGCCTATACTCATTTTGAAGACCGTGGTCAAATCCATGCAAACGTGCACTTCGTTATAAAATTTGTGATCAAGAAATATGCTTCAATGCCTTAATAAATGGGTGACCCAAAAAAGAGTGAAAAACTGAAAAATATTATTCCTTGCTAGAGAAAAACAATATGTCTTAAGTTGACTACATAGATAACACCACCGTCAGATTCAGTTAAAAACCAAATTGTACTCCTCCATGCTAGAAAAATAAAACTCTATATAATGTTGGCTTATGAAGCATCTATGCAGAAAGTGGTTTATTTGTGACTTGCGGGGGAACAGTAAGTAATTAAGTATAAAAGTTTCAACCAATTTAATATGCAGTTTTGATTAAAACAAGACTCACTCGCTTTTCTTCCTCCATCTTGGCTTTGATGAACGAGTAGAGTGCCACTCCTGCAATTGCAATGCCCGTTCCTATACCAGTTTGGGTGGTAATCTTGTTACCTGAGTGAAGCAATTAGCCAGTGAGAATGTTAGATTCTCAGGAACGTAACCTTTTCTAGAAGGGCGTGCAAACCCAAAATTAATTAAACATTCTGTGGAACTTTAAAAGTTTCACAGCATTAAAGAAAACGATATTTACCAAAGACTATTATTGAAAATCCAATCACAAATACACGTTTCAGTACGTTGCCAACTGCATGAGTGAGAGGAGCAACTCTCTCCAGTGTGTTGGTAGCCACCTGGTGATAAAAATGTAGATATATATCATTGCCAGTTCACAAAAAGAAATTGTGTTTCTCCAAAAGAAATTTAGTAGATGAACAATAAAAGAACTTCACGCAGGTAGAAATAGGCCAAAAATAAATGAATTGAAACAACGTATTGAGCATAGAAAAATGATAATGAATGTCATAAGATATTCGTTAAGAATTTAAACATGGAAATTACTAATTGAAATATCCAGTTAATTAAATTCCTAACGTATAAGATGTGATGTTTTCCATTAAATATTTTTCTAATTCTTAAATTAGTAGGTATACTTCAAACTCATGCAAAATTTAAACTATTGCATAGAAAAAGCAGGATTTACCTGATTGTAGAGGTGGTAAAACATCCCAACCCAGAAGAGATCTGAGACGAACTTGACCATACCTACTTTAGCAATTGCATCATTGAAGCCGTGCTTCAACAGTGCAGGCCCTTCCAGCTGTGAGATCAAATAGTGATTGAATTAGGTTAGGGATGAAATGCTAAAAACAAGAGTAACATATTATAGAAAATAAGTTTCCCAAGGTAATTAAGAAAGGTTTCACTCACAATTACGGCCGGTGGTATGCAGACAATTAAAGCAATGATGGAAATGTAGGCATAGACATTGGTACTGTCCATATCAGTCTGCACAAAGAGTTATTTAACAACAATACGGAAGAGCAATAGTGAGTATAGTTTGGTGGACATATAAATGAAGTCATGGAAATAAAACGTTCATACAAATGTGTATATGGTAAAACAATCAGTTAACATGGATAGCATAGGAGATAACCATGGCTTTCTTTGAATAGATACTCCGGTATGTAAAGGAAATGTTTGAAATCATAGCACTTATGAAGCCGATCCAGTTGAATGAGAGCTCGGTCAAGGATGCCATTGACACACCTGTGCAGTAGAAGATGACATGTAAAATTATGCAAATTGCACTGACTAAATTTCTATGCATATGCACAAGTGTTACTGGTATTTTCCCATTATCTATTTACCATTTCTTTAGGTTTAAAGTCTAAACTCATGTTTAAAATTAATGAAGATAAAATAAGAATATATTTAAAATACAATAATAATATAAATAGTTTTATACTTAATTATGAATTATTAAATCATTGAAAATCGTTGATTTTTATGATAATTACTTTAAAAATTATATCTTAAGTATTATTTAATTAATTCACAGAACAAAAGTGTTTAAACTAAATTTGTATAAAAATTAAACTCATTAAAAAAAGTTTCCATGCATCACTGAAAATTTGAAATGTGAATGGAAAGTGGAAAGAAATGGACAGATAATCATATATAAACTAAAATGGATGAAAGATGATGTTACCAATAACAACCGGAGCCAGGGACAGCCATAAAGTTATGGGTATTGATTGGCCAAGTATGAACTGTGAAGCAGCAGCATTGAAGAATGGCTCAAGAGCTGAAACAAAAGTTTACCAATGTTAGAAAGTAGAAACAGTTTCAAGTATTTACAGACGCTACCTCCTTCCACAACATCATGTATATCATAAACTTTTATCACCTTTAATGGTATGTGTGAAAGAAACAGCAACTGCAGCAAATGAGACATTGCTGGTCACATGGCCTAATGCGTGGCACACAGCCACAGGGATGAGCAACTTCAGCAGGTTGGAGTCTATAGGCTGCACAAACAAAAGCCATATATATGCCACGCACATATCAGTTATTTACCATATGTATAAAACATTCATGAGTAATTTTTCATCATTTCACGATTCAAATATTCCAGGTAACATATTTATTATGAAACTCTAGTAGTGTCCCAAAATGATGATTGAATGAAAATTGGTAATTTGTTCATCAATTAACGGGGTCAATCCAGAATTTTGGTGGAGTGGCATTAGCAGTTTAGCACTAAGCAAAATGTTTTTTTTCTTTTGGATTTTGGGCTGGGAGATATTGAACTTGACTTACAGCACGCTTAGGAAGGCCCACGGCCCAGCTCACCAAACAGTACGCCACACCCACTAATAAATGGATAACCGACACGAAGCTGCACATTTGGAACAGTTTAATTAAATTCAAAACTGATGTGGGGGCAATAAAGACAATACAAACCCGACAGACACCGAGAACATAAGGAACTTTTTTGTTTATTAATAATCTAATAATATATGCAGGATTAAAAAATAATTATAAAATTCAAATATGGCTCACGTTTAAATTAATGCAGAAAGTGTGAGTGTCTATTTTAAAATAGCATTAGTGTGCTTTGATAAAAACAGAAAAAAACTACAACTGAACAGAATTAAACCCTCTGTTTTAGTTTCCTTAATTTTACTATTTTTAGTAAAACTAATTAAAATTTATAAATTTTTATCCTCGTGTCACGTTTTGTTCTATTTTTAGAATAATTTAACATACAATAAAATATTTATTTTACGTTCAGTCCATTCTACAAAAACTACCGAAGTGTCATTTCAGTACAAGATGAGAGAATTAAGAAATAAGAAATGGAACTTTAATCATGAGGACATTTTCTAAAACTACCCTTCTCCACTTATGATCGACTAAATATTAATCGAGGATAAAGAAATAAAAAAAATGGATCAGCCAATGTCACGAAATTGAAGATACATAATGAATGAACTTACTATGGATAAGGGAAATAGTTGTAGATCTTCTTGTTGAGGATGTTAAAAATCACATTCAGAAAGTACCTGCATCACAAAAGCAAAAGGACAAAGAGGTAATTTCAATGCTCGAAGCGATCACAGCCACACGCGCACAGATGTAGTAACGAGTCTAGGAAAGGAAAAAAGAACACAACAGTCACAGGTTGTTGTGGGAGTGTAAAAAGAGTCACGTGACCTACCACGTGAAGAAGAAAAACCCAGTGACGAGAGCGGGGTACTTCTCGAAGAACCCAACCGGAGCAACCTTCGCTTCCCTGTAACAAAAGAAAACATGAAACATTCAACACATTAGTTAGGACAGTGACGCGCCCGAGTTCGCCGAGTCAGAACGGATGAAACGGACCTCACCCGCCGGAATCACTCCCCTCGGCCGGCGAGGAGGCAGCGGCGAGGCATGGCCGGAGGACGACGGTTTCCTTCTTGAGCGCCGGCGAGCACAATTCCGGTCGGAGCTGCCTCCCCCATATGAGATTTCCGCCGTCGGCGACGGCCTTCACGGAGACGATGGAGGCACTCGCGACGGCTTCACGCGGCAGCTTGCGGAGGTGAGGGAGGGAGGACAAGGTTGCGGCGCGTGACAACACTCGCGACTCCATGTGAACAGGAACGAAGACGGAATAGAGAGGAACAAGAAGGAATCAGAGCGAGTGTGTATGTGTGTGTATGCGATCGAGTGTGTGTGATATGGATGTTGTTGTTGTGATTTCGTTTTAGTACGTATGGTTCTTGTTAACAATCGGGTTTTGTTGTTGCGGGAGTTGATTGAGTGTGTCGCGGTGCAGGAGAGTGGGGTGCGGCTGAAGGCGTCAGTGGCGTTGATGAGATGGATATAGGGTGATGGATGACGGTGAGAGATGTGAGAGAGCAGGGTGGTGGGGTGGGGTTAGAGGAGGGTGTGGTTGGAGGGAAGAGATAGGTGGGGCCCTCTTATCTGTTGGGAAGAGATTTGTGTGTAGGGTGGAATGGATGATTGGTTGTGAAGAGGGGAGAGTGTGTGTTGTTCTTTTTCTTCAAATCAGGGCCTTATCGTCTCCTCTTCTCCTTTCCCGTGTAAAGTTGTGAGTCAGATTATTCACTATTGCTTCGGTTCATACTCTAATTAATGTCATGGAATGCCTCTTTTTCCTTTTCATTTTATGAACCAAAATTTGTTGTTTGCTTAGGCCAATTTTTAATGAAGCATAAATTAAAATTATTAGCAAACTTAACGTGTGTTATGATTAGTTGTGGGAAAAATTAAAATGAATGATGGATCATGAGAAATGTGGCATCAATGAGTGAGACACTGTTGCTGGGGGTGGAATTGTATTTTTACTATTTGGAAATGCAAATGTTCTACTTCATACATTGAGTGAAAAGCTATTTATGTCTTTTTTGTTTAATTTTATTGAATCAACTTCTCTCAAATGCTTTTTTTTACGCTGTAAGTATTTTTTATTGAGAGTAATTATGTTTGAATTAAATAAACATTAAAATATACATAAATTTATTGTTATTTAGGAAGATTTATAAGAATAAAAAGTAGAAGAATTTAAATTATAATACATATGCCAAACATGAAAGTGTTGCAGTTTCAAATACTTATAAAAGTAATTCAGTACAAAAGATTTTATATGTGATTATTCCGATTTGGCTAATTACCTTCCTCTTTAAAAAGAAACCTAGCATTATTTTTTCTTTCTTGAATTTTATGATATTGGTAACATTGATCTTTTTTTTATAAGAATTTTTATATATTTTTGTCCATCTTTAATATAAGATGTTTTATGAAATTTTAGAAGCATTTATTTTTTTTACATATTTATAATTTTTTTTAAACATTTATAACTTATTAACAAATAATATTATAATGGAATTTAACTTTCATTAAGAGTAAACTTAAAATATAATTAATTCTTGAAACTCCATATATTACTTACTTTTAACAACTTTTTAAATATGTATAATTTAATTAAAATATTCTTATAAAAAAGAACGAATGCAGTAAATCAGGGTAAAGAATTTTTTTTCTCTATTCGTTCATGTTCTTTGACTTATTCGTCACATTCAAGGTAAGATAAATTAATTTTTTATTATGCATGTTAACATAGTGGCTAACTTAAAGAGGCAAATAAGCAATTTATATAATATGAAAAAAGATGATAAGTCTTTAAAACTTTATTATAATTTAAGTATATGGATTTTCTATTTCATCTTACTATAAGTGGTTCAATTTTTCTTTAGTGGATTATAAGTAATTTTATTATTATAGTAATTAAAACTAATTAAACATGGAGAAATAGAAAGAAAATATACACACCTCATAGAAAAAACTAATTAATCACCACAATAAGAAACAGAAAACCTTTTGGCATCAAAATTTTTATTTTATTTATGATGAAAATATTTTCTAGTGAGTCTCAAATGTTAATTACAAACTCTTGGTACACATTGTTTCAAGTTCTACGGAGATATATATATTTTGAATGCTTTTTCATGTTGATTTATTGTCTTTTTTTCTTTTAATGTGTTATCTTATACTTTACTTATCATTTTTAGTTTTTTGCATGATAGTTCAAGTAGAAGGATGTAAAAGAGCTTCATCCCATATCATTTTAAATTTTTTGTATTGTGGGCTATAGCTTAGGTGGTGGAATGTGATTCAAGCCTCCTTCCATCCCTTTCTTCAAGCGTATCTTTGCAATATGGTTGATTTATCTTATTTTCTTTATTTTTACTTCACCATATGTTGCGTTTTCTCTCTTTAATCTATTTGTTTTCAACTCAGTCTTTCATTTTTATCTTTTTTAGTTTTTTTGGTTACTCAGGAGCAAATGGATAATATTTCCTTTGTGTCTGATGCATTTATTTTGTGAGAAATTGTAAGTTTTGTTTATTGAAAATTGAAATTCGCTTGGTCTCTCTCATTTTTAAGCATTTAATAATTCAAATATTAGGAGAGCTAATGCAAGTCACTTATTTATTTCTTTTTTCAAAGTAAGATTAGTACTTTTAAATTTTAGTATATATATAATATGGAAAATAATCTTCTTAAACTAGTGTAAGTTTAACAGGTTATAATTTATTACTTCACTAGCCGTTAGATGTAAATTAAATGAAAAGTTCAGATTGGGTGTAAGAGTTTTTAGATTTATACTGGTTTAAGAAGATTTTCTCCATATATATATATGAATAAGATCCATTGGCACTAAGTTTAAGTCTAAAAGACTTATACAAAATCTCAATCGTACAAATCAAATAATCTAACGGTGAAAAAGTTACCTATTGTTTAACTAAAAAATTAATGACCATGGACATATGTGATATTTCTCATTCTCTCTCTTTCACCGTTAAATTATTTGATTTATACAATTGAGATTTGATTTAAATATTTTAAACTTACACCTGATATTTTTTTTATAGGCAAAATAAATATTATTAAAAAGAGTTTAAGGGGAACTCAAGACCCATATACACAGAAAAAATTACTTACTCAAAGAAATAAAAAGCAAAAATATACTTATACAAAATTAAGACAGATGCAATTTCATGGGTTCAAATACCAATCAGCTAACATAATAGCTTCTCCCTTACTAACAAGTGATAGCCATTTCCAAGATCTCAGCATAATAGAATCTAAGACCTCCCTCTCATCTAAAATACCATTTGAAAATACAATTCTATTTCTATGCAACCACAAAGACCACACTGTACTTACCCAAACAATTAATAAGCATATTCCTTCTCTTTTACTACAGCCAACACCAACCCAAGAAAGCAAGTGAGTCGATAAATCTGAAGGCAAAACCAGTGAGAATCCAAGTCAACGCGCAGTAAAGTACCAGATTTGAGATGAAACTGAATATGTTAAAAATAAATAAGTTGAAAGTTCCTCCAAACCATGACAGAAGCAACAAGTTATATCATCAATTTGAATACCACGATCAATCAGTAAACCTTTATAAGGAAGTGCATTCAACAACAATTACCAAGAAAAAACCAGACACTTAAAAGGGACCTTCCCTCTCCATAGCCTTTGCAAGACATTTGCCGTACACTGATCTACACTATTAGGACCACCAAAAAGTTCAAATAGCCATGAATACGCAGATTGCACTGAATAACAACCTGAAGAATCTGCCCTCCATACCCATTTATCTTCTTGTAGTAACTTAATAGAAACTCCATCCACAAGTTTCAACAAAAGATTAAAGCTCGAGATCTCATGTTGAAAGAGTCATCTTCGCCAACTAACATTCCAAAGGCCATCATGAAAACCATTCTCCAATACACATGATTCAACATTCCTCACTACCGCAAATAATCGCAGAAATGCTTCACACAATCACACCCCGCCTACCCACTTATCTCTCCAAAAAAGAGTGTGTAAACCTGTACCCACACTTCTATCAAACTTCTCATCCAGCCATGAATTCCCTTGATGAATAACCTCCAGCAAATCACGCCACCACAAAGAACATCTTTTGTGAACTGATGAATGCTGAATAAAAGAAGCTAATCTTCCATATCTAGATTCCAACACCCGCACCCACAATGAACTAGAACAGTTAACACATCGCCACAACCATTTACCAAGAAGCACCTAATTAAACCACTGCACATTCCTAATGCCCAAGCCACCATTCTTCCGCGGTCTACATACCGTTTTTCATTTCACCCAGGGGATTTTAGATCCATCCTTAACACCCTTCCATAAAAAATTCTGTTAGATAGTGACAATCTCCTTTATTACCGACTTCGGTACCTTAAAAAAGGATAACGAGTGCAATGACATAGAATTAAGAACGGCATTAATCAAAGTCAGCCTACCTCCAATCGATAAATACCTATGCTTCCATGACGCTAACCGCTTTTTAAGAGCCTCTAACACACCCTTCCATGCACTAGGCTTTCTCAGGTTAACACCTAACTGTAACCTGAGATACTTTAATGGGAAACTACCAATCTTACAATGTAGGAACTTCGCAGCCAAGTTTTCAAAGTCATCACTAGTGTTAATCCCCAATACAAAAAATTTATGGAAGTTAATTTTCATACCTGACATTAATTCAAAGCTACGCAATACTGCTTTCAAAGTCCACAAATTCTGCACCAAAGTCTCTCCCATAATCAATGTGTCATCCGCAAACAGCAGCAAAGAAATATCTGGTCCCCCTACCCCAATCTTCACACCAAAGAATAACTCACAAGTCACTGCCTTCTGCATAAGAACTCCTAACCCTTTCGCTGCCACAAGAAAAAGAAAAGGGGCAAGAGGATCCCTGATAAATCCACCTTTTATCATGTTTTTACTTGTCTTTTTAGTTTTCCTTAATAGAAAAATTAGACTTATATAGTGTAAATAGTACAAAAATTACATTTTGAGTAAAAATCATAGGTTTATTAATATTTAGTTAATTTGCATTTAGTTACATAGATATAGATTGCAATTTTAATTTTCTTAATAATTTTGCAAAGTTTCCAAGTTAATTTTTGAGAAATCTTGACCCTTGGATGAAGTTTGACTTCAAAGTAGCCACTTTCAAGAGCAGAAGTGGTAACTATAGCAAGTTTGGAAATTGAAGGACCCAAAGTAACCACTATTGCCTCTCATAGTGACCACTCAGTGAGCTCCAGGACGCCGTTTGGGAGCATTTCTGCACGTGGACACTATTGGCTCTAATAGTGGCCACGCGCACCAGAGTAGCCACTTTCAGCACAAAAAGTGTCAACTCTAGAGAAGTAGCAAACCTTTCATCCTGCGCGTGGATACTCTTTTGGCCCAAAGTGGACACTTTCAAAGCAAAAAGTGGACACTTTGCTGACATGGCATCCAATATAAATAGGTTTTAGGAATTAGGGTACGGGACTTTTACACTTTACACATTTTTCCTTTGTCAAATTGAGACAATTTTCCCAGAACATTGGAGTCTTGGGTGACAGCCAAGGGTCCTCTATAGGTTTTAATTTCCAATTTTCCTTTTGATTTTGTTGAATTTACATTAATTCTGCTTACGTTCTTGCATTTCTTTCTTTCATTTGTTAAGTCCATCCACATGGTGGGCTAAACTTCTTTGTAATTCCTAGTCAA